AACCGGCGTCGGTGATCTTGACGCAGGTTCCACCGTCGCCGGCCACCACTGAACCGTTTATCCCTGGTACTGAGTCGTTTCCTCAAGGTACTAGTCTCACAACTAACACATAGAATCATGGCTACAACGCACGAGGTGGTCGTTTTGGCCGTAGAGGTACTAGTCATGTCACAGCTAACGCATAGAATCATGGCTACAACTCACGAGGTGGTCGTTTTGGCCGTGGAGGTGGCCGTTTTGGCCGTGGAGGAGGTTGTTTTGGCAAAACTCAATGTCAGATCTGTCACAAGGATGGACATGATGCGTCCATTTGTTATCATCGTAACGCTGCCATGTTTTCTCCTCAGAGATCTTCCTTCAATCCATTCATGATGACTGCACGTCCTCTGTATCCTGCTTCTTTTGGCTATGCAGCTCCTAGATCAGCTCCCGCACTCTCCCATGCCTCAAGCCTTCGTTGCAGGTTCAGATCCTAGTTTCAGTAATCAATGGTGGTATCCTGACTCAAGTGCGGCTCACCATGTTACTCCTGATGCTTCAAATTTGTCTGATTCAATTTCAGTGTCTGGATCTGAGCAAGTGTTCATGGGAAATGGCCAAGGTTTGTCTGTCAATTCTGTAGGTTCTATGCAATTTCCCTTACCTAACCATCCTAACATGTCTCTCACCTTACATAATCTTTTTCTTGCGCCTCACATCACCAAAAACCTTATTAGTATGTTTTCTTTAAGTTTCACCCTCAGTTTTGTCTTGTCAAATCACAGGCTTCATCTGAAGTTCTTCTTCGTGGCTTTGTTGGAGCTGATGGTCTGTACAAGTTTCCCAATCCAACTTCACAACTGTCCAAGCCCCTTAATACGTGTGTTTCTTTGTTTTCTGATAATTGTAATCTTAGCAACTCTAGGAATCATGTACTAAATCCACATAATACATACAATTGTACTTCCTTATGTACTGATGATTCTTCTATGAATAAAACTAGTTATGTTTGTCAATTGTCTCCTAATGTTAATGTTGCCACTCATGATATTGCTTCATTTTCTCAGCATGTTAATTTACCTACATCCATAGCTACTAGCGAATATGTTTTGTGGCATACACGCTTAGGACACCCTCACCATCATGCTCTTGTTGAAGTGTTGAAACTATGTCACCTTCCTATCCCTCCAAAACCCCCAGCTGAATTGTGTGCTGCCTGCTGTTTAGGCAAGTCTCACAGGCTTCCCACCTCCTTATCCACCACAGCGCATAATCACCCCTTTGAATTGGTTGTTTGTGATCTACTAAATCCACATAATACATACAATTGTACTTCCTTATGTACTGATGATTCTTCTATGAATAAAACTAGTTATGTTTGTCAAATCTATAGGGTCCAGCTCCTATACAATCCTCTCAGGTGGTTAATCTTCTTTCCTAACCTGTGTTGATGCCTACCTCTAGGTTTGTTTGGGTTTTCCCTCTTAGACTTAAGTCTGACACTCTTACTCAATTCATTCAGTTCCAAAAGATGGTTGAACTTCAGTTTAATTGCAAAATTAAGAGTGTGCAGAGTGATGGAGGGTGAGTTCAGACCCTTCACTAAGTACCTCACTGAATTAGGCATGATTTGTAGGTTTATATGTCCTCACACTCATCATCAAAATGGTATAGTCGAACGCAAACATCGTCACATTGTGGAAACAGGTCTTGCTTTATTAGCACAGTCCACATTGCCCTTAAAATTCTGGGACCATGCCTTTGTTACAGCAGCCTACCTTATCAATAGACTTCCTAGCCTTACTCTTAATAATCACTCCCCTTATTCCAAACTGCTTAACAAACCACCTGACTATTCAGGACTGAGTGTTTGGCTGCTCTTGTTTTCCCTTCCTTCGTCCCTATAACTCTCACAAATTTGACTATAGGTCTCAAGAATGCATATTCCTAGGGTATTCTACTGCTCATAAAGGGTACAAATGTCTTGCTTTATTAGCACAGTCCACATTGCCCTTAAAATTCTGGGACCATGCCTTTGTTACAGCAGCCTACCTTATCAATAGACTTCCTAGCCTTACTCTTAATAATCACTCCCCTTATTCCAAACTGCTTAACAAACCACCTGACTATTCAGGACTGAGTGTTTGGCTGCTCTTGTTTTCCCTTCCTTCGTCCCTATAACTCACAAATTTGACTATGGTCTCAAGAATGCATATTTCTAGGGTATTCTACTGCTCATAAAGGGTACAAATGTCTTGCTTCAAATGGTCATATCTACATCTCTAAAGATGTACTTTTTCATGAATCTAAAATTCCCTTATTCCTCCATGTTTTCACCCTCTTCTCCCATTGCTTCCAAATCTGCTACTTCCACTACCTCATCCTGGTTTGTGCCAGCTAGCTCATCAGCTCCTCTCCCTATTCATCATGTCAGCCCTACTCCCTCTTTCAATGCTGTCAATTCCAATGTTGGCAATACTGTCAATTCAAATGCTGATTCCATTTCCTCACCTAGTCCTTCCAGCCCTATTGTGCCACCTGTTCTGCCCAGCTCCCCTACTTCCTCTTCCCAATCTACTGTTTCTCCTAGTCTTATACTTTCAGACCTAGCTGAAGCTAGCACCATATCACCTTCATCCTCCCCTAATACTACATCTACTGCTAGTCATGTTCCTGTTCAATCTCAACCTGTCATTAATCCTCTTAATACCCATGCAATGCAAACTAGAGCCAAAAGTGATATTTCTAAACCTAGACTTAATCCTACATTGTTGCTCACCCACATGGAACCTACCACTGTTAGTCATGCCTTGGTTGTTCCTCATTGGTTTCAGGCAATGAAAGATGAGTATCAGGCTCTTTTGAGGAATTAGACCTGGACTTTGGTGTCACCATCTGTTTCCAGAAAACATATTGGCTGCAAATGGGTTTTTCGTGTCAAAGAAAATTCTGATGGATCCATTAACAAGTATAAGGCCAGATTAGTGGCCAAGGGTTTCCATCAGCAAGCTGGAAGTGATTTTACTGAAACTTTCTCACCTGTTGTGAAGCCTGTCACAGTCAGAATTGTTTTGACTCTTGCTGTTACTCACAGGTGGACAATTCAGCAAATTGATGTAAACAATGCTTTCCTCAATGGCACTCTTGAAGAGGTGGTGTTCATGCAGCAGCCACCTGGTTTTGAAGCTTCTGACAAATCACTTGTATGCAAGTTAAATAAGGCAATTTATGGGCTCAAACAGGCACCTAGGGCCTGGTTTTGAAGCTTCTGACAAATCACTTGTATGCAAGTTAAATAAGGCAATTTATGGGCTCAAACAGGCACCTAGGGCCTGGTTTGACAAACTCAAAAGTGCCTTACTGAAGCAGGGGTTTCAAGGAAGCAAATGTGATCCCAGTCTGTTTCTGCTCCCATTAGCAGCCTTACTATTATGATCTTGGTTTATGTTGATGATATAATCATCACTGGGAATTCTGCTACTTTCATTACATCTCTGATCAAGAATCTTAATGCTGCCTTCTCTCTCAAACAGCTGGGTAAACTGGACTATTTTCTGGGAATAGAAGTCACTCATCTACCTAATGGCTCCTTGCTTCTCTCTCAAACAAAATATATCAGTGACCTGTTAGCCAAAGTTAACATGACTAATGCAAACAGCATGCCCACTCCAATGGTGTCCAGGAGCAAACTGTCCAAAGTTGGTTCCAATGAAATTTCTGATCCCTCTCAGTTCAGGTCTGTTGTTGGTGCTTTGCAATATGCAACCTTAACAAGACCTGAAATTTCTTTTTCTGTGAATAAGGTCTGTCAGTTTCTGTCCAATCCATTGGAGGAACATTGGAAAGCTGTCAAAAGGATATTGAGGTATTTGAGTGGCACTCTTCATCATGGGCTTCTCATTCAGCCTGCACCTACTCATCAGCCTTTGACTTTGCTTGGTTTTTGTGATGCTGATTGGGCAGATCCAGATGACAGACGGTCAACCTCAGGGGCATGTGTTTTTCTTGGGCCTAATGTTGTATCTTGGTGGTCTAAAAAGCAACAGCTAGTAGCCAGATCGAATGCAGAGGCAGAGTATCGAAGCATGGCTCAACTTGCTGCTGAACTACTTTGGGTTCGGTCTCTGCTTAAGGAATTGCATTGCCACTTTCAGAGTCCAAAGATATTATGTGACAATCTGAGCACAGTTACTCTAGCACATAACCCTATCCTTCATAATAGGACCAAGCATATGGAGTTAGATATCTTCTTTGTGAGAGAGAAGGTTCTAAACAAGAGATTTGTTGTAGCTCATGTTCCAGTTCAGGATTAGTGGGCAGATGCCTTAACTAAACCTTTATCTGCAGTAAAATTTCTTCCTCTTCGTGATAAGCTAAGGGTGTTCAACAAACAAAGTTTGATAAGTACACCCTCCACTTCTAAGGGGGAATGATAGAGTTAGTAAGCTAGTTAGTTTTTGTTTCTGTTATATTGCTGAGCTGTAAACTAGTTAGTTACAGTTTCTGTTGGGTTTCTGTTGTAACCAACTCTCTAGAAGCTTCTATTGTAACTAACTAAAGTTTCCATTGTAACTAACTCTATATAATGAGAGAGTTCATTGTATCTCAATGATTATGGAATACAATAAGAATTTCCTAACTGTTTTCTCTAACTGCATTATGCAATTCTATCAACTGTCTTAGAGTTAGTTTAGGGAGTTGTATGTCAACTCCAATGTGAATGTAGGAACTGACATGAATAATTGTTTTACAACTCTCTATTTTCTATCATTCATATTACAATTAAGCATTGTGTATCACATGAAAGACAGTACTGTAATAGGACTATGACTCTCCGACAAAAGAAGTAATGCAATACAAAAGATATTGCTTTGTTTATTACCACAAACATAGAAATAAGATCTTTTATGTTACCAGAATGAGATAATCATATCAAATAGCAATATGATATCAAGTAGCTTAAGCAGAAAAACAATGATACATTTAAAGAGGAATATTAGCAAAAACTTACAATGTGTGCACTATGTCACTACCAATTTTCTTTCATGCAGACAATCATCATTCTTCTCTTTATCAAATGCAAACTCAAGTTGTTTCTCCACAGATTTGACAACTGCTGTTCGTTTGGTTCTTAACCGGTATGGTGGAGATGCATTGAATGCCTTATTATCAAGAATAACACACTTATTAACACTCTTATTGCCACGGCTTGCGGGACTCTTGGGCAACATCCGAGCTTCAGAACCAGAATTGTTTTTGGTTCTATCTGGTTCATTAGAAGCATGTGAATCAATATTAACTTTTAAAACTTTACTAGGAGAAGTGAGTAGTTGGACTCCAGTTCTTCTCCGCCTATATATGGAAGGAGTATTTGGATAAGTATCAGCAGCCTTTCTCAATATTGATTCAGGGGTCTCCGTACATGATTCATTAACGAAAGGAGTATTTGGATAAGTATCAGCAGCCTTTCTCAATATTGATTCAGGGGTCTCCGTACATGATTCATTAACGAAAGGAGTATTTGGATAAGTATCAGCAGCCTTTCTCAATATTGATTCAGGGGTCTCCGTGCATAATTCATTAACTCTCGCACGAGGTGGAGTGATGAAACCCATGGGTGGCAACTTAGAACTGTACTCATTCTGCATGCAGAGGATACTTAAATGAAGAGAATCTAAAGGAACTGAACCAGCTAAAACTGGTGGTTCGTAACACAAAGAACCAAAATTCTGATTTTCTTGAGCGGATGTCCTGATTAACTTGCTACTGCTATTGCTTATTTTACCATTGCTTAAACAATGCCGAGTTATTAAGTTTCCATTGAGTGCGGAATTCTCATCATTTGGCCCATAAGTTGTTCCAAAATTAGCTCTTGATATATGTTCTGAGTTTCCACAGCAAAGATCAACATTGGATGGTCCAGGCTTGCATTCTACACAGTCAGAATCAGCAGATTCATTTCCTGGGACACTTGAAGAATCACCAACTTCTCTAACTGTTCCTGAGGACTCAAACTGATTCTTGCCACTGTCATCATGCTTGCTAATGGCTGTAGTTTCAGAGGATGTTTCAACAGCTACATTTAATTCTATATTAGATGAAACAGGTATCATTTTAGCAGTAGTGCGTCTAATTGTATCTTTGGCAGCAAATAATGAATTGTTTTTTGGAATTGGTGGAAGTTTTCCAGTGGCTAAGTAAAAGTCCAACTTCTTCTTCAAAGAACTATTCCAATGGTTCTTTATTGCATTATCAGTCCTGCAGCAGAAAATTCCCAAAGATGAATGTTAACATTAGTCGTAAATGTAAATAAAATGGCATGCCATTTCACATCACAAAATATATCTTACAACTTGCTCACAGAGGTTTTATTGTATGCCCATCCTGTTGTCCAATATTTTTTTATTCAAATTTAACTTCTAATACCCATGTAGTATTTTTTTTATCTTCATTTCACGGGGATTCAACTAACAAAATGAAATTTTTGTTGAACTATATCATTATGGTACTTGCATAAAATGTGTTTGAACAACATAGAGCAGATAGACCTGCTCCAGAATAAGGAAGGTGCACAAATCATTAGAACTGTGTTGTGTTTGAATTTGTAAAACAAGGACCTCAAGGAATAAATCTCAACGCAAACTAGTAAAGGGAACTACGGATTTCAAGATTTTAAAATAAAGATCAAAACGGTTTTTGTAGATGCAAACTGCTTGTTGCTAACTACAGTGCTTCACTGTAGAATTTTCTTCTTCTCAATGTTTGTGGAACTGAGACTGGAGCTGGAGGTATGTTAAGTGAAAAAACATTGAAGACAAAAAGAGCGTCGAAGAGAGATATTTTCCCTCTACCTATGCAGCTGTTTTTCTTTTGTTTTCTGCTGTTCTCTTGTTGTGTTTCAGTCTTGTGGTAAACAAGATTCCTATTACCATCTCAGAAATTTTTTCTAGTTATCCAAATATTTCTCCATTTATTAATAAAAAAGGTAAAGTATAAATTATTAAGAGAGAGCAAGACAACTAAACCAAAATACCACCACCACTACCAAAGTAGCAGAAAAAAATGAAATCATGTAGAAAATTTATGCTAGACACTAATCAAAGAGATGATACTTCACAAATATCATGGTAATGGAAAGATCTCATTCGATGATTTTAGCTATAATCTTAATTTCCTTTATAACAAATAAATAATTAAAGAGAAAGCATACCTTCCAGGAAGGACCTTAGCAATTTCAGCCCATTTGTTCCCATGTATATGATGAGCATTCATCAATGCTAGTTCCTCTTCCAAAGTCCAAGCATCCTTCTTTATTCCAGGATTAAGATGATTGTGCCACCTGAAAACATTAGAAAAGGAAAAACCAGTATGATTTGAGTTGTAAATATTTAAAAGCAAGTTATACTAATTGAGTCATCAATTTAAAATTGTAGCATTGAGATTTTTCTGAAGATCTTCAAAATTTGATGGTGATGTGCAAGAAACAGATCTACAATTTATATTTAATAATATAGAAAATAGCATCTTTTACCAGTAAAAAGTATTTTAAAAAATGCACAAATAATAAATACGACTCAAATTTTGGCTAACATACCTCTCTCGACACTGTTTCCCTATTCGACCAGGTAAAGACTTGGCAATCAAGGACCATTTTGTCGGCCCGTATTTTGATACCAGTTCAACTATTTTATCATCCTCCTATAAGCCAAGCAAGAGAAGTTAGGGTTTGAACAAAACTGTAGAAAAATTTGGAAAGAAGAGGCCTAGGTTTTAACCTCTTGTGTCCACGGTCCTTTAACAAGATCTGGATTAAGAACCTTTTGCCATCTGTGCAGACATTGAACTTCTGATCTATCAGGAAAAAACTCGGCTGCAATCCACATTTAAAACCAGTGTCATAAAATGAGCATGCTTTTGTCAAAGCACTTGGTAATAAGGCACACGGACAAATTACTATGTTCAAGCACATGATGATTCTCCGTCAAAGGACAAATTAAATCAAATATTATAACGTAAATAAACGTTTGAAGTTCTAATTTTAGTGGCTTCCATTCTAAATTTTCTGTATCCTAAAGTAATAAAACTAACAAAAAGTATTCTTCAAGCCTATATCTTTTGAATTATATATGTCTTTTCCTGATATATAATCCCTGGCTCCATCCTAGTACAAAGAAAACCATAAATTATAGTGAAATAATTTTTATATAACAGCATAACAATTTTCTGGTTTCTTGAAGATTAAAATGTTGCTTGAATTTTCTATTTTTAAAACAGATGATGAATGGATCTATTCTGCACATTGAAAGCGCGGTCAAGGTACTTTTCTATCACAAATAACAAATGAAGCACTCTGACATTTCATCCACCTCACTTGAAACATGTTGCATACATCTCTTTCTATTGTTCCATCATTTTATATGACAGAACGAAGATATTAAAATTGTGTTATAGCTGTATGTTATAGTTTCTTTGACCTCTAAGCAAGAATTAGTATGTCTCTTGCTAAACTGTAGTCCATATTTTGTGTCTTCTATTTAAATTTAAATCGCAACTTGTGGGTCTTCTATTGTAACCATTTATTTCTTCTTTCAACTTTCCAAATATGTCTATAGTATTTTGAAAAGCATATTCTCCATTGTCCAGTATTATCTTGGATCTCATAATCTCATTACACAAATTAACATAGTGATTCATTTTTCTCTCATAGAGTCTTCCATACCCTTTAATATCCATTTCAATCATTCTACCATTATCCATCCTTTCTAATGCTTCACACACCATAAATTCTTGAACTCACCACCATGAAAATGTACCCTTTGGCATAAAACATGATTTTCCGAGCGTCTCTTGCTACCTTATCCTTGTAGTCAGCTCGTTCCACTCATTTATAGTACTTCTTCCTTTTTTTTTCCCTTTATAGCCCACAACCGTTATTAAACGCTTCTTTTTTCATCATCCATTTCCATCATTTGATCCTTGAAACCCCGGCATGATCATTTACCAGTATACATACTATTGTCTTGACTAAGGAATCCTTTTCCCATGAATAACATACAGTTCATCATAAGGAACTTCACAAAACAAAGCTTATTGTGCTCTTGATGTATTTTAGTTAGTTAAATTAGTTTAGCAATCTCCAATCTTTATAATTTAGTTCAAATATGCATTTCAATTGTAAATTGTTAAGGCAAAACTTAAGTATGTTGACCCTCGTTGTATACGAACTAGCTTCTGTCATAACAACATTTAAAAAAAAAAAACTTTTTTTACATGATTTAAAAATACTCTAGAAGCATTGATATTGTAAATATTGTGAGTATACTCTGTTTGCATTCTGAGATTCGGATATAGATACACATATAACCTTTCCAACATTACATTTGATTCAAGTTTGTCCTCAATTCAACCCCTTACATCCTTGTGACACGTGTTTAATTAATTCATAAATTTGTAAATCACATACAAAGATTATCATCACATAATTATTGAACCAAATGTGTCCATGGAAAAAACAATGTAGTAATAATAAGTAGTTACCTATTTTCTTCCAATGCTTTCCATTAAAAGCTGCAACAGCATTCCTTAATGTCTCATCCTACAGTACATTGAAGAACACAATAAGAACAGTTAATATTAACTTATATACAAGCAGAGGTAAATGGTAATTGTCACAAACGTAACAACATATCAATGAACTGAATTCCCAATTCAACCAGCTTTATGTAGACCACATCTAACCAAAAAAATGGAGGGAGAAGAAAAGAAAACAGGTTTCTCAATAAGTGAAGACTAACCTCCTCTGCTGTCCAACCACCCTTAGCACGCCTTATAGGACCGGTTGTCCTCCTGTACAAACATATCATATGGTGTAAATCAACTCACGAATGCCACAGAAAAGAGTTCTCAAAAGCAAACAAGCTACTATTGCCGAATGTGAAATTAACCCAATAGCAGATTGGCGTAATAAAGCGTACTTCCTCATAATCCATGATTACTATTGCAATGGAACAAAAAAAAAAAGTAAAGAATTTAACGAACAGTACCGATGCGAGGGCGACGGCGGGCTACATATCCCCGGAGACTTATGAACTACACTGCCACTACCTTCAGACACAGAGGAGCAAGAAGCAACAGTTGATTGCTTATTCTCCAAACAATACTCCTCTGATTTCACCTCAGCCATATCCTTCACAAACCTTCACCAAAACTCAAATTCCTCATTAACAAATCCCTACACATATATCCATATAAAAAAAAAATCCAACCTAATACCAAAACCATCAAAAACCCTAAAAACCACGCTGAAATTACAAAATTTCCAAACTTTCACAATAAAGCACAAAAATAAACTAAAACCGGATCTCACAACACACAATCAAATCAAAACCTCCATCCAAACCAAACAAAAAACCGTTTTTTACCCAAACCAAATCGAAACCCTTTGTTCAAACAATTTAAAAAAACGCAGAAAACAATCAAATCAATACGAAAAACCCTGAATTCACAAGACTGAATTACATCCACATCAACAAAAATAAAATCATAAATCGTGAAATTCTCGGAACAGTGAAGTACCTATGCTTTCACAGAAGTGGCGGGAATTGAAGTGAAGCTCATAGAACAGAGAAAGAGAGAGAGAGATTATTCTTCTCTCGTTAAGCTAAGGTTTCGAAAAATCCTCGAACGTTGAATCAATGAAAAATTGAAATTGAATCCTAATTTAAAAATAAAAAAATCCAAACAAATATTTTATTTATTTTTTATATATATTTCCGAAAGCATATAACGGATTAGCATTTAGCACCGACGTCGCCGTTACTTGCCGTTACGGTTGTGTGGTGTGTTTTTTGTTCCGTCAGTTAACGGTGGAAATAGACGTTAAGAGAATAAAAGTTTGAAACTCAAACGGCACTCAAGGCGTGACGGCGATAAATGTCGAACGAGATTTTAAGGATTTGGTTATATTATATCGATGAATCGTGGCCGTTGGACTAAGAGATGTGAGTTTTTGAGGGTTTAAAAGATATCAGGTCTAAGAAGGAAACGTTTTAACTAATTTGGTGGGTTAAAAAGATTTATTTGATTGATTAATTAATAATATTAGGGTTTCTTTTTGGGTTTAAATGTGTTCGGGTTGTTATAACAAGTAAAAACATTTTCTTTTTACGAGTTATAAAAATAACATGTGTTTTTACTTGATTTAATTCAAAGTTTTTTTTTTCAAAAACTTGAGGTATAATATTCCAATTTTAATAAGGGTAATGTTAATTTGTGCTCTTAGGGCACAATTTAAAAATTAAATTAAAAAATATTATTTTAGAAATGGTGTATCTTTAATTAAAGTATAAAATTATTTTTTAAATTATTTTTTCCAATATAAATTTACTATAAGTGGGTTTAAGGACACAAGTTAACATTACCATTTTAATAAACTTTTTCATTAAACAAATCTAATTTTAATGTCTTTGAATTTTTAAAGTATGCTAAATTATAGAGATTTTTCAAATAAATAACTCATTTTTTTCAATTTAATTTTTTATATATTTTTGGATACTTTATTTTATACTCAACTTAATCAAAATGTATTTACAATATAATAAACTATCATTTAGACAGTCACTCGCGTATCTGTTTGTCCATTTTTTTTATTAATATACGTAAAAATTTAAATGATATTCTTTATTTAATATTAATTTTAAATAAAAGTTAATGTAAAAAGTTAATAGTATAAAGTTAGATAGAAAGTTATGTGAAAGATGATAATAGTGGTTTTGATCAAAGTTATTATGAGTTATATATTAAAAGGTAAAATTGATAGAAAAATATACTACACCTAAACACTATATTTTACCTTTATATATATATATATATGTTATATAGGTTATAGCCTATAAAGTTTTGTAAATATTTGATTTTTTTTCTTTAATCACATAAAATATTAATTATAAATAGTTATGATGTAATGATCTTATAAAATATTTTATCCTAACATTACATAAGAATTATTCTCATAAAATATTACATAAGATGCATGCACATTGACATGACATTTTTTTCTTTTCTTTATGAATATTACTCCCACTAATTATTACAAAAGAAAATTTTTATTTTCTAATTTATTAAATATAAAATAAATTTAGACAATATATAAATTACATAAATTAGTTAATTAAAACTATAAATTTAAAATAACTTTTTATTTTATGTTTTAAATTCATTCAACAATTAATGTATTTTGTTTTATAATAAATTAGATACATTAATTATTAAATTCAAAAAGTAACTTGTCTCTTGTAAATAAGATCATAGTAAATAATTATTTATTTATGAGTGATCGGGTGTATTTATTAGTTGATTGAGTTTTTATTAAGTTTTTTTTATAGAATTTTTTGTTAAATAATCTAATGATTGAAATTTCAAATTTTAAAAGAGGAATAAATGGGACGGTGCATGTTTGAATATATACCCTTATATCTAATGTCCTTACATAGCTATCAATTGAATTGTCTTAGCAAGGACAAACGTCATTTGTTTGACTACGTCCGTCTCAAATTGTAAGACGTTTTGGTCATTTCACATGAATTAAGAAACTTAATTATTATTTTATAGAAAAGACAAATTATATATGACTTTAGCTCCTCATACAAATAAAATTAATATTTTTCAAATAGAAAGTTATACATTTATTATGTGTGATTATGTTGTCTTATTATTTAGTTTCACATGTTTAATATCTTATATGATTTTGTAAAAATACGATGAGTTATTAAATACTATAATAACTTATAAAAAAAATACATATTTTTCTTATTCACAAATTATAAACAAAAAATATCTATTTATTTAATTTAAGCATTTTATTCTAAAAAATGCATCTTTCCAAAGATAAAATTAAATATAAATTGCATTTAATTTATTTTATCCCTCATTTTTTCTAAAAATAACAACCAATTAAATTATTTTTATATCACTAGTGGAAAAAAGGCTTCTTAAGTCAGTTAAAAATGACTTTTTAAGTCGGGTCCGAGCCCGACCTAAGAATTACCGACATAAGAAGTTTTGACTTCTTAAGTCGGTTGTGGACCTGACTTAAGAAACAACTTCTTAAGTCGGTTAGGCAGAACCCGACTTAATAAGTCTAGCCTGCAGAAACCATTTATACCCGACCTAAGAACTTACTTCTTAAGTCGGGTATAATTAACCGACCTAAGAAGTTTTTTTTTTTTTATAATCACACAAATCAAATGCAGTTTTCCCATTTAACAATTTACCCCCAAATCAGACTATCCAACTCGATCAACAAATTACACCCAAAATTATCAGAAAATTAACTCTTCTTTTCATTATCACAAAATTATGTAGAACCAAGTATATTAACACAAGTATAAATTACAACCAAGTATATTACCATCACCTAACCAAACACCAAAATTAATCACTTAGACTTGAGAATGATATAGAGCTTGTTTGAAAAAAAAAACATAAGTAGGAAGAATTTGTATAGAGTACTTCGAAATTGTTCTTCGACGGGTGTACTGATGGCCCATCCGTTGTTACGACATATGAAAACAACTGGTGCCTCCATTACTGCTGCAAAGTTCATAGCAGCATGAAAATCTCCCTACAATATTTCAAATTACAAAAGATTAAACTGGTGCCTCCATTACTACTACAAAGAACACTGACTGTTACTTATTTTCCAGCTTTGGCCAGTTTCCTTATCAGAGTCTCAACAGCAACATTTCCTGTGACTGTTACTTTCTTCTGTTGCGGATCAATTGCTGTAGTAAACACTTCTGAACGCAAAACCAGAAAATATGAATAAAAAACACAAACAAATATATTAAACACAATACTAACATAATGTCTGACATCGGATGCTACATTGTACATGCTAGAACACACAACCATACAGTTGTTTATGTTTTGGGCTTATAACAGTAAAATTTGAGCTCTGAATATTTTCATGCATGAGAAGTCGAAGAAATGAAGTACCATCAATGTTCTGTAAAACTTTCTTTACTTTTCTTCTACAACCTTCACAATGGATAGAAACTTTCAAGAACCATATCTGAGAAACATGTAAGAGAAACAAACTTTAGCTTATAAAACTAAACAAAACAAAAAAAGATTTAGACAGTAGAGTTGAGGGAAGATGGTTACCTGATACTTCAATGGTTCCTTATAAGGGTCCCTTAAGCCCTAACCTTGAGCCAAGCCAATTGGTAACATCAGCCATCTCTCTAGGAACTGTATAATGACCAACCCTGCACAAAAGTGATGCAGTTTAGTTTCTAAAGTATCACTCTATCTCTAATTTTATCTCTAAAGTATATAGAAATAATAAGTAGTTCCAAAATTATATGAAATCTATCACTTTAATATTAAAAAAATGGAAATTACCCATCATAGGATTTGAAGGTTATATATTGAAACCCTGCCGAACTCAAGGATTTGAAGGTTATATATTGATCCCGGAAGCCAGCCACTTAGTCCAACAACTGCTCTTAAGTTGATAGGGTAAGGAGTTCCATTTCCATACTTTCCCATGGCAAAACATGTTGCAGAGTATAGAGCTGTTGCAGCACCCATACCGAGCCCTCCAATCCCAATTTTCACTACCATAAACAAAAAAGTGATGTTTTAGTGAAATTCATCAATATCAAAATCAACATATTGCTAATAATATTTAGTTTTAGAACGTACCATCAGGTGGCTCAGCAGACACCAAATTAGCAATATGTGCTGCTGAGGCATCCAAACCCTCCCAATCAACTGGACCATCTTCTGAAAGTTCTCCCGTATTAAACCCTAATCGTTGTGAAATATAACAAAACTTAAGGTCAGTGTAATATATATACTGATATGTGTGCATTCAACAATTAAAAAGTGTTTATTTAGTTATAACTAAAATATAGAAAACAAGAGAGGTTAAAAACATTACATGCAGTGCATGAAAAAGTTCCAAGTATAGCCACAGAACGAGTAGGAGCAGTTGGACAAATCCATTTTACCTGCATCATATAACATCAGAAAAGATATCATACATGCATTGACACAGATACAGACACATATACGATATGACACTAGCAGACGGATACTGATAACAACTTATAAAAAATAAATTGATTGAATGTAATTTCACATGTCAGTGTCGGATAGGTGAGAGAGGACAAAACTTAC